CTGACAAAATACATTCTGTGACCTTCCTTCTGCATTTCTTATTTATAAGGTTTCTGGAGATGAACTCCAAAGATACATTTCTTATTTAGAAAGAACAATTTTATTGAAAGAGCAAATAATGACTCTGAACATTTGCTTATTCCAAAAATGTGCTTTTTCACATGGGATCGCAGGACCAGTCGCTCCTCTACAGCAGCAGCAAAGCAACCTTTCTTGCTGTTAAATTATTACATCTTCTCTCTGCAAAGTTCACCAGAGAACTGCAGAGGGAATGAAGGGACAGTGACAGAGGTGGGGTGTACAGTGTGAAAAATGCAAAGCAATACCCAGGAGCAATTCTGGTAGTCAGGGACTTAATGGTCTCCTCCACTCCCAGTGCACCCCCAGATCCTGGCTCTCCTACTGGAGGCCAGCAGTGGTTGCCCCTCTGGCCTGGGCAGCATGGTCTGACACAGATTTCTAACATGCCAAGGAGACTAAAACAGAACATTTCCAGAATAGCAAGGTGGAATGATTCACAGATACACAGCTCCACTACATCATCAATTATCCCAAGTGATGCCCATGTCTCCTACATTTAATATGGGATTCTGTGCCACTCCAAACAGGGGTTTAAAAAATGGCCAGTACAAGACAAATTAAATTATCTCTCTAATTACTTCTGGAAAGCCAAACTCCTCGTCTGACACTTTAAAGCTTTATCTCCAGCTGTGTCTTGGCGTACCTTCTCTGACCAGGCTTGCCTATGCCCTCCTTGGGTATATTCTCACCATTCACTAAAGGTTGTCCCCCAAAACACGCCAGTGCAGCATCCCGTGTGGGAGCAGCAGCTCAAGAGCCTCTTGTCTCCCCTCCATTTGCCCCTCTGGGCTCTGCCGGGCTTTGCTCCAGTTCTGCTCATTCCGGGGATTCAACACTGTCTGCCGTGAGGTAGCTGTGAGTTTCCCGAGATTACTCCCAACTGTGGGAATTGTCCCAAAACATCTCTGCTGTTGCGACTGCCTTAGCCGGCATCTCTTTAAAATGCGGGCTCCAGGTGATTGACTTCCAAGTAAGAGGAGCTGAATGGGTTTAGACAGATTAACATTCTAGCAGTAAGTGGCAGTCATTCCAAGGAGCTAAATCAAATTCTCAAGTGCTCATTAGCAACAGGAGAGAAAGAAAAAAAGAAAAAGAAAAAAAAAAAGAAAAAAAGAAAGAAAATAAAAAGTAAGGGGGAAAACTAGTTTGAGAGCATAAAAAGAATGACCACATAATGGAGACACTTGGTGGAGGCTGTTTTTTCATTAGAGTTTTTCACCGATGGCCATCTCCCTAAACCACCGGTCATGGGGTGCTGCTGCATGGCATTTCCTTGCAACACAAAGCACGAAGGTGCAGCTGCCCCGGGTCACTCCAGGTTCAGAACCAGCCCGGTCCCCTCGGCTGGCAGCATGTGTGTCACCGTGCGGCGCTGCGGTGGCAGCGGGGGGACAGCTACCGCAGCTGCTGTCTGCTGTCCAGCCCTGGAGGGACTGCTCTGCACCCTGAGGAACGAAGTACAAGTCTGCTGTGATGAGTTCACTCGGGTCATCCAGGGCACTTCGTGTGCTCGTAATAATTTGTCTGTTTGGAGTGTCCTGATGGGACGGAATTGCAGCAATCGTCGTGAGGGGGAGGCGAGGCGGACGCTCACCTCTTAGCAGTCCGGGCAAGAATTGCCGCTCTGTCTCGGGGCGTGCGGGGACAGCGGCTGCCCCGCGGGCTCCGAAAGGTGCCCTGGCGCTGGCACTGCCGAGCTGCCGGCGGGGCAGGGGCACAGGGGCCCTGGGCGCTGTCCCCGCACGGCCGCCCTGGCTGCGCTCCCGCCTGCGGCAGCCCGGCCCCGCCGCCCGCCCGGGCACCAGCGGCAGGGCGAGTCCTGGTCCCAGTCCTGCTGGTGAGCGGAGTGGTTTACGTTTATACAAAATATTTACGGGTTTTTTCTCGAGCTTGTTTTCCTAGAGTTCTGCAAATCATGCAAACAGATTTTTGCAGTTTAGGCAGTTGCACTGCAGAAATTCACCTGTTCTCACTAAAATCATACCAAAAGACATAAATAGGAAAGATGTGAAATTATTAACAACTCATCCCGTAAAAGTAAAACCAGCTCTACCTGAGTGCAGAGGGAAGTCCCCATTTAACTTTTACATTTCAGAAAGATCAGAGGCAAATCCTGCCTCAGGTTCCCTTTGCCGCTTGATTTACTCAGAGAAATATTTTCACTGCTTTCCACACAGCACTAATGAGTTTAAAACTCAGTGGGTTCACGGCAGCTGAACGGCAGCAAGAGCACAACCCTGAGCTGTACCCAGCAACAGACTCGCCTGCAGGAAAGGAGGAAAACCCAAAAGCACTCTACAGGCTTGAATGCTTGAAGAAAAGTTGTCTAAGGGTTTGGGTTTAAGTCAGGCACCCACACCTGGCTTTGTACACATCAGAGTTCCTGATGCCAGCCCTCCCAGGTTCTGCTTGGCTGCTGGCTCGTGCTGCTCCATTCCCTGCACTGTCCACCTGCTCTGCAGAGTGTGCTTTGCCTAAGTGAAGCTCACCCTTGGCACAGGAGCGTGATGGAAAGTGCCTGGGTGTTCTGGCAACAGAGTCAGCATTAAGCCTGGAGACAGTTGAATACATTCCTTTGACCGGCACCCACATTTTTCAAAGCCTTTTAGAAAGCGGCTTTCACTGAAAAAAGAAACAGCAGTGAAGAGATCAAGATGTCAGGAAATGCTTTTGCTGACTTGGTGTGAAGAAAATATTTTTCTTATCCAAAGCAGGAGAAGAAGCTGAATAAGTCACTTGACCTTCCTTCCTTTCCTCTCCTTACCCTCCAGGCCTTCTGCCTCTGCAAGGGATCTTTCTTCAGCCATTTGCCATCCTGTCTAGCACATTTGTTCATTATTTTTTCCCTTACACAGTCAGCTCTTTGGTCTATTCAAAACACCTCTTGATTTGCTCCTACCTTGCACTGATGGGCATGGCAAAGTCTTCTGCTTGGATCCACCACACACACAGTGATTATAGAATTTTGCTTAAACAGTAGCGGAAACGATAGCAAGCAAGTTTTCTTTCTGGTATTCTGAATCTCTCTGCTATAGTCTCAACAGTTTACAAGCTGTAAATTTGTGGCTCTAAGCCCATTATGCTTGAAAGCACTGCATACTGCAAAAATTCGTGCAGGAATTTGAGTCATTTTGCTAGGAAGTGTCATGCATAGCTCTCATGATCACTATTACAAAGTATGATCCTAATTAAAAGAAACCCAAACCACAAAAAGCACCTTTGTGTTCAGAATCCTGATAGTTTGCTAGTGCAAATTATTGTTTGTTTCCCTTCTCCTCTGGATTTCTTTGATCCTCTAAGCCAGCACAGGTAAGGAGCAGAAAGCTGGATCTTTTTTTTTTTTTTTTGCTATATCATGCATCTGCACTGCAGGTACAGTCCCCACTGCAAGCACTGTGTGCACAACATAGTCTCCAGCCTCATAATTAACAGTGATGGTTAATGGCAAAGTATGTCAGAAACTGTGGGAATAACTGCTCATACCTTAAGGAAGGGGGATGGACAGGATGACCTCTCAAAGTCCCTTCCAGCACCTGACTCTGTGACAACACAAAGCCAAAAGTCCTCCGGCTTGTTTTTCTAGTAGTCAGCTCTTTTCAGGGCTGCAGCTAACAGCTAGGAAAAAATATCCTTCCATCTGCAAGCAGAGCTCATTGATAGGTATGCAAAACTCTCCTGCCATGTAAAATTTTAATAAATATTTGTTTATTTTCTTCCAATTATTACCACAATTGTACTATGATGCTAGCTGCTAATGGCAGGCTCTCTGTTCAAAATTATGCTTTTTGACAGCTGTAATGTATGGATCTAGAAATGGTGCCCCAATTGCAGGGCATGTCTTGTTAGTTTAGAGACTTCAGTCCAATGATACATAGTAAAATTAATAACTTTTTACCTGTTTCAATGGAAACAGGTTTTGACAGCTGTAATGTACGGATCTGGAAATGGTGCCCCAATTGCAGGGCATGTCCTGCTGTCTTGTTAGTTTAGAGACTTCAGTCCAATGATACATAGTAAAATTAATAACTTTTTACCTGTTTCAATGGAAACAGGTTTATATTAGAGAAGAATGGAGACACCATATCTCAGAGATTTAGACTTTTGCAAATCCATTTTTATCATTGCTCTTCTACCTTCCACAAGAAAACTAGGAACAACAGCACACAAGTCAATGAAACTTTCAATTTTTAGTAAAGATCCTTTCCTTGAAAGGGGAAAATTACTTCACCTGGTGAACCTTTTCATGATGCTAATGTGATGGCGTGAAGTGATGCCACTGCAGTAGCTTGTGGGCGTGAAGGGTTTGTTCCCAGGTGGAGACCATTCCTTGATAACTGGGCATTTCCTCCCCTGGTGGCTCAGGGGCTATTTATGCTGAGCAAGATGGCTCTGGCCAGAACTATATTTTGGGAATGCACACATGGTTTCTTTGTCAGCTCAGCATCAGCTTGTATTAACAAAGTGGCAGAAGATGGGAGAGAATAGGGTCAGAGCACTCCACGTTTTTGTGTGGCTTCTGTCTGTTTCTCAGGTGCTCAAAACCTTCTTCTAGATTTCTCCACTTGCTCCTGCACACTGGGTAGAATCTATGATTTTTTTTTTCTACCTGCAGTTTAAACTGGTGAATTTTGGGAAGAGCTGCAGCTGGGTGAGGAAGGAAGAAGGGAAGGGAGGAAGGACCTTGGCCATTGTAGTAGAAAGTGCTGCTAAATAGCCAGTCATATCAGCATTGGCTTGAGGGAAGGTGCTCCTGACTCTGTGCCATTCCTCTCCATCACTCCTGCTTAAAACAATACCAGTAGATATTTTGGCTGTGTCAAGGTTATTATTAGCAAACCACTAATTACTAAGCTAATAGAATTAAAAGAAACACCCCACAATTAAGGCCTATAAAATTCATATAATCTCTCTAATTTTGTAGGAGCAGTCTGACAGGGAATGGCAGAGCCCCATTACATGGCACAGAGGGTGGCTGGGTTCCAGCTCGTCAGTGTAAGTCATCAGGTCTGTGGCAACTTGTATTTCTTACTGCTGTTGCTAAGAGGCTATTTTAGGGTGCACAGATTTATTTGACCTTCACTTACTAAGACCAGACTAAGCCATTAGATTTTCTTCTGGTGAATCCCATTAATTAATCTGCCAAATATTTCATCAGAGTCTGTAATGGGAAAAACTACAGAAAAGCTAATGTTTATTATGGTCACTAATGTAGTTTATCTTACTGGAGAAAAGATACATCTGGATGGACTTGGTCATGGATCAGGATCCTGTTATGCCAAATGCTGCCAAATGCGGATCACATCCCATGTTTTTCCCCACAGAACTTATCATCTGAATAGACTATGTCAACAGATCTTCCTTACAGTAGAGTACACCTGGACTGGAAAGATGAAACAGCAAGAATTGCCTTTTTTTGTTGTGAGTTATACTCAAAATATAGAAATATAACTTTAAAGTCATACTTATTTAAAAGTTAAATGAACTGTGTCTGTGCCCCTCTTTGTGTCTGTGTTCCAAATTCTTCCACTTGCCATGTTATGTGTAATCAGAACTCATAGTTTTATTTTGATCTTGTTCTTATTCATGAATTGGTATATGCAGTGCTAAACATTTGTTTCTAGATTAATTTTTTAAAGAACACTGAATTACTTAGAATGTTGCAACTAAGACTAAAATAAAGCATGCAGTTTAATGTGCTACATCTTTCAAGCATATACAGTCTGCACTTTTCACATAGGCTGGATGAATTTTATCTTTACACTGTACATTTGTAATTAATTTTCAGCTGTGGAGGATTTACTTGCTCTCTAGAACCGACTTGTTTGAACTATCAAGTTAAGCTGAAAAGATGCTGTGAAATACTGAAAAAATGGAAGAAACAGAAACATGCAAATGTTCATTGTTAGCTAACTGCAGGACACTGCAAGTAAGGAAGTTAAGCTGATAAATATGCTTTCTGTATAACATCTCAAATCTGTGTTGAATTGTTCATCTTGCTGCTATGAATCTGAAGGGGCTGTTAAGTGCAGGCATCTTCTTCAAATATTGCAGCAAGACACCTTGTGCTGCTGTTATATGGTAACCAGTTATGAAATGATTATCATGGAAATTTTCAAAGCTGGATTTCAGTACTACTCAGAGTATTCCTGCCTGAGCTGGTAACAACAACAGCACACAAGTCAATGAAACTTTCAATTTTTAGTAAAGATCCTTTCCTTGAAAGGGGAAAATTACTTCACCTGGTGAACCTTTTCATGATGCTAATGTGATGGCGTGAAGTGATGCCACTGCAGTAGCTTGTGGGCGTGAAGGGTTTGTTCCCAGGTGGAGACCATTCCTTGATAACTGGGCATTTCCTCCCCTGGTGGCTCAGGGGCTATTTATGCTGAGCAAGATGGCTCTGGCCAGAACTATATTTTGGGAATGCATACATGGTTTCTTTGTCAGCTCAGCTTCAGCTTGTACTAACAAAGTGGCAGAAGATGGGAGAGAATAGGGTCAGAGCACTCCAGGTTTTTGTGTGGCTTCTGTCTGAGATGTTTCTCAGGTGCTCAAAACCTTCTTCTAGATTTCTCCACTTGCTCCTGCACACCGGGTAGAATCTATGATTTTTTTTTTCTACCTGCAGTTTAAACTGGTGAATTTTGGGAAGAGCTGCAGCTGGGTGAGGAAGGAAGAAGGGAAGGGAGGAAGGACCTTGGCCATTGTAGTAGAAAGTGCTGCTAAATAGCCAGTCATATCAGCATTGGCTTGAGGGAAGGTGCTCCTGACTCTGTGCCATTCCTCTCCATCACTCCTGCTTAAAACAATACCAGTAGATATTTTGGCTGTGTCAAGGTTATTATTAGCAAACCACTAATTACTAAGCTAATAGAATTAAAAGAAACACCCCACAATTAAGGCCTATAAAATTCATATAATCTCTCTAATTTTGTAGGAGCAGTCTGACAGGGAATGGCAGAGCCCCATTACATGGCACAGAGGGTGGCTGGGTTCCAGCTCGTCAGTGTAAGTCATCAGGTCTGTGGCAACTTGTATTTCTTACTGCTGTTGCTAAGAGGCTATTTTAGGGTGCACAGATTTATTTGACCTTCACTTACTAAGACCAGACTAAGCCATTAGATTTTCTTCTGGTGAATCCCATTAATTAATCTGCCAAATATTTCATCAGAGTCTGTAATGGGAAAAACTACAGAAAAGCTAATGTTTATTATGGTCACTAATGTAGTTTATCTTACTGGAGAAAAGATACATCTGGATGGACTTGGTCATGGATCAGGATCCTGTTATGCCAAATGCTGCCAAATGCGGATCACATCCCATGTTTTTCCCCACAGAACTTATCATCTGAATAGACTATGTCAACAGATCTTCCTTACAGTAGAGTACACCTGGACTGGAAAGATGAAACAGCAAGAATTGCCTTTTTTTGTTGTGAGTTATACTCAAAATATAGAAATATAACTTTAAAGTCATACTTATTTAAAAGTTAAATGAACTGTGTCTGTGCCCCTCTTTGTGTCTGTGTTCCAAATTCTTCCACTTGCCATGTTATGTGTAATCAGAACTCATAGTTTTATTTTGATCTTGTTCTTATTCATGAATTGGTATATGCAGTGCTAAACATTTGTTTCTAGATTAATTTTTTAAAGAACACTGAATTACTTAGAATGTTGCAACTAAGACTAAAATAAAGCATGAATTTTAATGTGCTACATCTTTCATTCAAGCATATACAGTCTGCATTTTTCACATAGGCTGGATGAATTTTATCTTCACACTGTACATTTGTAATTAATTTTCAGCTGTGGAGGATTTACTTGCTCTCTAGAACCGACTTGTTTGAACTTTCAAGTTAAGCTGAAAAGATGCTGTGAAATACTGAAAAAATGGAAGAAACAGAAACATGCAAATGTTCATTGTTAGCTAACTGCAGGACACTGCAAGTAAGGAAGTTAAGCTGATAAATATGCTTTCTGTATAACATCTCAAATCTGTGTTGAATTGTTCATCTTGCTGCTATGAATCTGAAGGGGCTGTTAAGTGCAGGCATCTTCTTCAAATATTGCAGCACAGTTTAATGTGCTACATCTTTCAAGCATATACAGTCTGCACTTTTCACATAGGCTGGATGAATTTTATCTTTACACTGTACATTTGTAATTAATTTTCAGCTGTGGAGGATTTACTTGCTCTCTAGAACCGACTTGTTTGAACTTTCAAGTTAAGCTGAAAAGATGCTGTGAAATACTGAAAAAATGGAAGAAACAGAAACATGCAAATGTTCATTGTTAGCTAACTGCAGGACACTGCAAGTAAGGAAGTTAAGCTGATAAATATGCTTTCTGTATAACATCTCAAATCTGTGTTGAATTGTTCATCTTGCTGCTATGAATCTGAAGGGGCTGTTAAGTGCAGGCATCTTCTTCAAATATTGCAGCAAGACACCTTGTGCTGCTGTTATATGGTAACCAGTTATGAAATGATTATCATGGAAATTTTCAAAGCTGGATTTCAGTACTACTCAGAGTATTCCTGCCTGAGCTGGTAACCCTCTCTAGGTTTCAAGCAGACTAGACAGACAAGCAGAGTGTTTTTAGATTTCCTCCACCCAGTTTTGAGACTACACCCATCGAGACTACTCAGTGCAAATCCAACTCTTATAATGGCTTACAATTCAATTATTTTTTCAACAGGATGTGGGGGTTTTGAGTGTTTTGTCTTTCTCTTAAAAAAAAAATTAAAAAGAGAGAGAGAAAAGAAAAAATATTGTGGCCTCAAGTATTTTCCTGTCACAAAGCCTTCTGTTCCTATTTCCCAGATAGGTGTATGGATTTTTTGTCATGTTTAATTACTCCTTCTGTCCCCATTGCTAATGCTTATCTTTCCTAGTAGTCTGCATACTCTTTTTTCCTTCTGCATTTTAATATCTTTTAATTATTGTGTCCTTTTTGGAGGGTAAGAGCCATGGAGCTGGATGCTGGCACTTGGTGTTTGGGGTTTACTCAGCAGTGGGAGAGGGCAGCAGCTGCCCAAAGCCTCGGATGAGAAAACATGTAATGTTCAATCAAAGGTGTTCAAGGGCCCAATCTTACTTTTCATTTTGCCCTATCATGACAACATGAAAATATTTTAGGGAATCATTTCAAAAATTAGTTTGAGCTCATGGAAGTTGGTTTCTGACATCTGTCTCACACTATTGAAGGAGCCCCTGTACCAGAATGGGTGTTAAAAACAAGAATGATCTCTAAATTTGGTAGTGACCCAGAACTTTGATGAAAGTCAAGGCAAATGTAAAGGTAACCATAATTTTCTGCTGAAATTTGTCTTTGGGCGTATGTTCTCCCAGGGTTAGATGATCAAGAACATGAAAACTGAATATTTTTACAAAAAGTATTCTTTAAAAGTATTCAAAAGTTTCAGAAAGAGTTTTAAACTGAAAGAGAGTACATTTAGACTAGATTTTAGGAAGAAATTTCTCACAATGAGGGTGTTGGGGCACTGGAGCTGGTTGCCCAGAGAATGGATGAGCCATCCCTGGAGCAACCTGGTGTATCTAGTGAAAGATGTCCCTGCTGTGACAGGGGTTTGGAATTGAAGATGGTCTTTAAGGTCCTTTGCAACCCAAGACATTCTACAGTGCCTTGATTACTCCTGGGTGGGTAGACTGGAGACAGCTGAGGGCTCAGAAGCTCCAAACCAAAGCACAGAACAGAGAGGAAAAGCAACAGGTTACGGCAGTGCAGGTGAACAGTCCTACCGAAAGCCTGTGGAGGAGCCTTCTGATTTAGATCATCTGTTGCTGAAATAAACTATTTCATGATTATCTGATTTTTTCTGCATCCAGAAAATTCCTGGGTTTGTTGCAAATTGCTAATTAAAATTAAAAAATAAAAAATTACCTGGCTATTTAAGTCAAAAAGAAGATCAGTGTTTATTATCATAAGGCTTATGTTGTACATGAGATCTTGTGTATCTGGGTGACGTTCCTGTTTGATGGCTTCCTTTTCTGCTTTATAGTCCCACAGCCCGTGTCCTACGTCCTGCTGGAGTACTTCTGTCCATTGGAGTGTGGAAGGGGTTCAGCTCTCACCATTATTTTCAAGTCCCTGAGTCATCTGAGTCCTTTTTTGTTCTGGTAACCACCCATGGCTATTACGGGATGTGTGTGAACACCCTCTCCCTCCCACAGTCACAAACCTTCCTGGTTGTTCCTCTGACCTCTTCTCAAGCTCACACCCAGCCAAGCACATAAATGTCTACATGCACCACAGTGATATCTGATGCTGTCTTGGCGGCCTCTCAGACCTCACTGCTTATGTGAGCTGAGAGACAGAAGTGAATTTAGGCCATGTCTTTCCTCTCCTCCCCCTTTTTACAAGGATTAATAAATAGCTGGATTCTTGGCTTGGCTTTTGTTCTGTTCTTAGGTCTTGCTTCAGTACATAACGATAATTTCCTGCTGAACTGCTTCTGCTGCACTTTGCCTGTTTCACTTCCCTTCCAAAAGAAGTGACTTTAGAGTAAATACCGGACCAGAACAGTGTGACTCCCAGCCAGGGTTAAATCTGACCACAGAGCCTTGTGATTTTACCCAGCTTCTGATTTCACCAGCAATGGCTTCCAGTTTTAGGCTAAAGTATCTTTGCTGTGAGGAGAGCGCCCAAGTTTTCAGCTGCAAATTCTCAGCAATATGCAAAGAAGATAACCTGTGCAAACTGTCTACTCTTGTGAGCTGCAAAGCTGTGAGAGCAGGGTAATACTACATTCAGAGTGGTTTGCCCTTGCTTTTTCAGGTCCTCATTTTATTATGAGGACTGGAAAACCACTTTGTATGTGTGAGAGAGCTCGGCACAACAACAATGGAAATGACATGACTATTACTATTTCTGTGCTGGAGGTGCTGCTGTCTGTGGCTCTGTGAAAGCGTGGAGCTCTCTTCCCTGCAAAGCTTTAACAGAATCAAGAGGGAAGAAGAGCAACAGCTTGTTGCATTACTCTCTGAGTTGTGGGTTTGGTTGAAGGGTTATGTAAGGGCATGTTTGCATATAGCCAAGGTGCATCGTGCAGACACCCCTGAACTAAACCACCTCAATATATGCCTCTGGCCAGAAGCCCCCGAAGGCTATTTGCTAGCCAAATGCAGCAGGAGCACATGGCATGTATACCAATGTGTCCTGAGTGAAGGGATGACATCAAAGAGAAACAGCTGTAGCTGTGACACCCCCAGGCCGGGCTGATGGGCACAGAGCCCCTGGCAGCTCGCAGGCCCTGGGCAAGGTGTGGCTGCACCTCTGCTGCTGGGGGCTCCTGCACACAGCAGATGCAAACCCACTGCTTTGTGCCCGCTCTCACAGGTGTGAACAGCTGCACAGCGACCTGAGCTGGGGCCTGGAGGTGGAGGGGAGTTACTGCAGTGAGATGAAGGGCAAAGAGAAGACAGCAGCTTCAGCATGGCCAAGCAGGCAGCAGAGTTTCTGCCAGGGCCAGGTGAGGGCACATGTCCAGGCTTGTCATCCCCATCCCAAAACACAACACTGGGAGTCTCGCTGCTCTCACAACAGATAGCCTCTAGGAGCAACTCAAAGAAAAGACAGCAGTGGCTTTACTTCCTTTTTTGAGGGGGGATTGTATTTGGTGTGAGGACAGCACGGAAGAACGCATGAAGTTACTTGTAGAAAAGCAAATATTACCATGACTTGGGCTGGTGCTGCTGGAGCTGTGGAAAGACACTGCTCTCACAACAGATAGCCTTTAGGAGCGACTCAAAGAAAAGACAGCAGTGGCTTCACTTCCTTTTTTGGGGGGATTGTATTTGGTGTGAGGACAGCATGGAAGAATGCATCAAGTTATATGTAGAAAAGCAAATATTACCATGACTTGGGCTGGTGCTGCTGGAGCTGTGGAAAGACAGAGGCAAAGCACTGAGATGGAGGCATGAATAAGGGCTGAGAAATTAAGCGTTTAAATTAAAGCCTGAATCTGAAATGTGTGTAGAGGAAGCAGCTTTTGAGAGGGGTAGGATGGCCAAACCAAGAGGAAAGCAAGAGGTACAGACTGGAAGGAGATGATGGGGGGACCACAGTGACAGAAGTCACAAACAGACTTCATGCAAGTATCAGAAAGAAAACAAGATCTTTCTGAAGAAGAAGGTGCTGTGTTACAGACTAAGCACATTGAGATCTTTTACATAGGAAGGAACACGATTTCACAGACCATTATCAGAAATGTTAACTCTCCAAACTTCAATTGGGAAAAAAATCAAATGCTGCATGATTGCAGACTTATTTACAGACTCTTTGATTACTGAACTATATTCAAATGTTTAACCTGTAGTAGGAAACATTTTGTGTTATAAAACTTAAATATAAAACTTAAACAAAATTTAGAGTTGAAGTAGAGGCTTTTTAATTTTTGACAAAAGTACAAGTGTTCTACTTCTCCAATTACTTTTCTGATAATTAGAAATTCATTCTTGAGTAACATACTCTCACTTTTTCATAGTTTCCCAATTAGAGAGAGGGGGGAAAAAACATTTTGCCATAATCTCCTTAATGAAATGCAGTCACCAAACTTTAAACATGCAGTTTTCTTGCTGCAATAAAGTCAGCTATTGGGCAGGAGTGACAAACTCTACAATAGGTATTTCACATAACTGATAATACAGTAAGCCATATTCAGAAGGAAAAATTGCAGTTCAGGAGACACAGCCCTCCAAAAAACATCCCAAACCTCCTGACATTTTTTATTGCAATTTTAAGATCAGTTTTGGAGGACACCTTTCTTAATCAAATACTATTGCCTTTAAAGATTAGTGTTCACAGCCTAATCATGCTGCACTTAGCTTAATTTGCTTTGCTATGGTCTCATTAAATTCTTTCTTTTGGTCAGAAACCCTGCCATGGCTTGGCAGAGAAACAGGAAATTTCTTCTTCATGTTGCAGGATTGCGACTGCTCTTTGATTTTAACACACAGACTGGAGGGTGCTGCAGCAAATTACATGTGGGTCACTCATTCCTTCCTA